ATGGATTGGGAAGATCTCGAATTGTTGGAGAGTTTGGAAAGGGAACTCACCCCATGCGAAAGCACGTATCTAGACGAGCTTTCACGAGCGAAGAAATCTAGAAGAATACGAGCGACAACTCGTAGAAGCACGAGGAGCAATAGAGAGTGAAGTCCAAAACCGTGAAGATGATGGTGCGCTGAATTCTCTAATCCTTGAGGACAAGGAAAGTCTTGAAGAGGAAGGGAATGATACAGATGTGGTCATCAACCCAGGCAAGTCCAAAGATGAGGATGGCGACGACCTCAACATATGGCTGGAAAACATGCTAGAGGAGCCATAAAGCCCGATATATTGACCATCCTATAAAAAGGATTGGCCGAGAGGATGTGGTCCACAATCCAAGCTTAAGCCTAAGAAGCGCAAGACCAAGCGAGCCCGAAGGAAACGTAAGGTAAAGGCTAAGGAGTCATGTTGTTGGTGTAAGCCTTGAACACAAAAAAGAGGCGAGCAAGGAGGCTAGAAGGCGGGGTTTGCGATGGGTTGAAGATGGGTGGTGGATACCGGCGGAGGATTGCGTAAGGTTGAAGGTTTGGGACCTATGGCCATCGTGTGAGCAGCCGAAGTCGATCGGCTACAAGGAGTACGACGGCGGTCGGCTAATGGGCGAATGGCGTGCATTGGCCCATTGATGAAGATCGTGTGTTTCGATTGCTGATAAGACACAAACCAGTGCCTTGAATCGCCGATAGTTGCCTAGAGGTTCACAAACTGCACCCCTCAAAATGAATAAAATTGCAATAGAAATCTAAAAGAAATCTAGGACAAAGTGTTTGAACAAAAGTTTAGATTTTTATTGATAATTTTCATGATTAAAAATAACATGGGGAAGGGGCCTTTATATAGGCAAAAAATATATCTAGTCCTAATCTACCTAGGGAATTATTAAAGCAATAAAATATTAGAAATCCTAATTAAGCTAGAAATTGTAAAGCAATAAGGAAACTAAATAACTTGGCTTGCACTCCAAGTTGGGAAGAAAGATCTAGGGAAAATTCAGCTCAAAAAGCCTTCTAGAAGTTTCACTTTTTTGCTGGCC